CTCCAAGGAGCCCATCTTCTTCACGGGGCTGGCGTCGGAGCCGGGCGCCCGCTCCATGACCGTCAGCGTGTGGGGCTTCCGCGGCAGCTTCTTCTTCCGCAAGTGGGTCTCCTACACCATCGACTTCGGCGAGCTGCTGAGCAGGGCCTGTGAGTGCCGCTGGCGCCGGGGACGGGGGCCCCCGTGGTGCCATCCTGGCGCTGAGCGCGGTGCCCGCAGGTGAGGACAAGGACTACACCATCTGGCTGGCGCACTCCAGCGATCCCGGCGACCCCGGCGACGGCTGCATCCTGGGCTACAAGGAGCAGTACCGGCGGCTGCGCAAGGCCTCCGTGTGCCGCAACGGCCGCGACTACGTGGTCACCAAGCAGCCGTCCGTGTGCCCCTGCACGCTGCAGGACTTCCTCTGGTGGGCTCCGTTCCAAGCATCATCCCATCCCCAGCATCTTCCCATCCCTGCATCATCCCATCCCCTACGTCACCCCATCCCTGCATCATCATATCCTTGCATCGCCCCATCCCGGCGTCACCCCATCCCCAATGTCATCCCATCCCTAACATCATCCCATTCCCAACGTCATACCGTCCTTGTATCAACTCATCCCTGCCTTATCCCATCCCTGCATCACCCCGTCCCTAACATCATCCCATCCCCAGTGTCATCCCATCCCTAACTTCATCCCATCCCCTACGTCACCCCATCCTGACGTCACCCCATCCCCAATGTCATCCTATTCCCAGTGTCATCCCATCCCTAACATCACCCCATTCCCAACATCATACCATCCTTGTATCAACTCATCCCTGCCTTATCCCATCCCCGCATCACCCCGTCCCTAACATCATCCCATCCCCAGTGTCATCCCATCCCTAACTTCATCCCATCCCCTACGTCACCCCATCCCGACGTCACCCCATCCCCAATGTCATCCTATTCCCAGTGTCATCCCATCCCTAACATCACCCCATTCCCAACATCATACCATCCTTGTATCAACTCATCCCTGCCTTATCCCATCCCTGCATCACCCCGTCCCTAACATCATCCCATCCCCAGTGTCATCCCATCCCTAACTTCATCCCATCCCCTACGTCACCCCATCCCAGCGTCACCCCATCCCCAATGTCATCCTATCCCCAGTGTCATCCCATCCCTAACATCACCCCATTCCCAACATCATACCATCCTTGTATCAACTCATCCCTGCCTTATCCCATCCCCGCATCACCCCGTCCCTAACATCATCCCATCCCCAGTGTCATCCCATCCCTAACTTCATCCCATCCCCTACGTCACCCCATCCCGACGTCACCCCATCCCCAATGTCATCCTATTCCCAGTGTCATCCCATCCCTAACATCACCCCATTCCCAACATCATACCATCCTTGTATCAACTCATCCCTGCCTTATCCCATCCCCGCATCACCCTGTCCCCACATCACCCCGTCCCCGCATCACCCCATCCCCAACATCATCCCATCCCAGCATTATCACATCCCCAACATCATCCCATCCCCAGTGTCATCCCATCCCTAACATCATCCCATTCCCAGCGTCATACCATCCTTGCATCATCCCATCCTTGCGCCATCCCATCCCCAGCATCATCCATCCTTGTGTCATCCATCCCTGTGTCATCATATCCCTGCTTCATCTCATCCCTGATTCATCTCATCCCCGTACCTTCCCACCTCTAACATCTTCCCACCTCCCACCATTATCCCACCTCTCCAATGTCTTCCCACTCCCTCTGCCACTCTTTTCACCTCCACCATTGTCCCACCTTCGCATCTTCCCACGTCCCCGTGTGTCTTCCCATCCCTTCCCAACATCTTCCCCCCACCTCTCATCCCCCTTTCAGACCAGCATCCTCCTCCTTTAGCCCCACTGTGTCCCCCCAAGGTGGGGGGGGGGGTGTCTCATCCCCTTTTCCCCTTCCTCCCGCAGTGATTTCGGCTACTACCGCCCGGAGAACCAGTCCGAGTGCGTGGAGCAGCCGGAGCTGAAGGGCCACGACCTGGAATTCTGCCTCTACGGCCGCCGGGAGCTGCTCAGGACCAGCGGGTACCGCACGGCCCCATCCGCTCCTCAGCTCATCCTGCCCTTAGTGGGACCAGACCCGGCTCCATCCCCTTGCCCCCTGGGGCCGGGCATCCCTCTGGGATCACCGAGCGCTTCCTTCACCTCCAGGTACCGGAAGATCCCTGGGGATAAATGCTCCGGAGGGGAGAGCCCGGCGCGGGAGGAGACGGACATGAAGAAGAAATGCACCAGCAACCTGCTGAGCCCCAGCCCGCTGGTGGGTGCCGGTGCCGGCAGCACCCATGGGTGACACCGCGGGCACTGGGGGGTCACGGTGTCCCCCGTTCCCACAGGCCGCCCCCCGCAGCCCCGCTGCCGCCATCCTGGCCGTGGGCACCGCGCTGCTGCTGACCGCGGCCATCGCCGTGCTTCTGGTCAAGAAATACGTGTGTGGGGGCAGGTGAGGGACACCCCCTCCCCCCCAACAACGGCTCCCCCCCCATGGGTGGGGGATGGGGGGTGGGGGGGGCTGCTGCCTTCACCGGTTCCCCCCCAGGTTCCTGGTGCAGCGCTACTCGGTGCTGCAGCAGCACGCGGAGGCCAACGATGCGGAGACCATCGATGCGCTGGGCCCCCCCGCGCCCCCCAAGCCTGGGTACCACGATGACTCCGATGAGGTGAGGCCCCCCCCCCACCCCCCAACTCCATAGGGGTCTATGGGGGGGTCGTGTTATGGGGGGGCACCCCAATGGGTGATGGATCCATACCCCCCCCACACACACTCCATAGGGCTCTATGGGGGTTTCCTCTCTAGGGGGGGCACCCCGATGGGTGATGGATCCATACCCCCCCCCCACACACACACTCCAGAGGGCTCTATGGGGGGGTTCCTCTCTAGGGGGGGCACCCCAATGGGTGATGGATCCATACCCCCCCACACACACACACTCCATAGGGCTCTATGGGGGGGTTCCTCTCTAGGGGAGGCACCCCAATGGGTGATGGATCCTTATACCCCCCCACACACTCCATAGGGCTCTATGGGGGGATCCTGCTCTAGGGGGGGGCACCCCAATGGGTGGCGGATCTATATTCCCCCTCCCCACACTCTATAGGGCTCTATGGGGGGTCCTGCTCTGGGGGGTGGCACCCCAATGGGTGGCAGATCTATATCCCCCCCACACTCTATAGGGCTCTATGGGGGGATCCTGCTCTGGGGGGTGGCACCCCAATGGGTGGCAGATCTATATCCCCCCCACACTCTATAGGGCTCTATGGGGGTGTGCCTCTCTAGAGGGGCACCCCAATGGGTGGCAGATCTATATCCCCCCCCCCCAGGGCTCTATGGGGGTGTGCCTCTCTAGAGGGGGCACCCCAATGGGTGACAGATCCATATCTCCCCCCCCCCGCCCTCCATAGGGTTCTCTATCTCCCCCCCCCCCCCATTCCATAGGGCTCTATGGGGGGATCCTGCTCTAGGGGGGGCACCCCAATGGGTGATGGATCCATATACCCCCCCCCCACTCCATAGGGCTCTATAGGGTGATCCTGCTCTGGGGGGACACACCCCAATGGGTGGCAGATCTATATCCCCTCCCACTCTATAGGGCTCTATGGGGGGGTCCTGCTGGGGGGGGGGGGCACCCCAATGGGTGACAGATCCATACCCCCCCCCACACGCACTCCACAGGGCTCTATGGGGGGGTTCCTCTCTAGGGGGGGGCACCCCAATGGGTGACAGATCCATACCCCCCCACACACGCACTCCACAGGGCTCTATGGGGGGGTTCCTCTCTGGGGGGGGCACCCCAATGGGTGACAGATCCATATCCTCCCCCCTCCAGGATCTCTTGGAATAGCAGCGCTGATGCTGAGGACGCAGGGATGCTGCCAAAGGCAGGACCCCCCCCCGCACTGGGGGGGCTGTAACTGAGCTCCATCCTTTTGGGGGGGGGGGGATGCTCTTTATTATCCCCTTTTCTGGGCTATTTTATGTCATAGGAACTGCCCCCCCCTCCCCACAGTGTCCCCAAGGCGGGGGGGGGGGTGGGGTGGGCTGGGGACAAGCTTTGGGGTGTCCCCACTGCTTGGGGTGGGGGGGGTTCCCCTCGTCCTTCCCAAAGCAATGCTGCCATGGGGTGCCCCCAGCTTTGGGGTGCGGGTCCCCATGGGGGGGGGGCACGGGTTGCCCCCCCCCCCCCCCCCCCCAAGCTTGCAGTGGCCAAGGGAAACGCAGCAATAAGGAATTGAAGCTTGAAGCAGGGAGGGGCTGGGGGGGGGCTCGATCCTGGCTGGGGGGGGGAACCCCCACACTGTGAGGCTCCTTACACTGGATCCATCCTTTATTGGGGGGGGGTCACCCCACAACACCCCCCCCCCACCACCTCCCAACCAGCCTCTGGGGGGGGGGGGGTGGCTTCTGTCCCCCCTCCCCATATTGGGCAGTGGGGGCTCAGCTCTGCCCCATAGCTATCGCAATAGGGCCGGGTGTCACGACATAGACTGGGCCCCCCACACACCCCCGGCTATAACAGCCCCCCCCCCCCGCCCCCCAAGTGCTGGTGGGATTGGGGGGGGGGGGCACCTTCTGCATGTGCTTCAACACGGGGCTGGGAGCCCTAAGGCAAAGCCATAGAGCCCTGTGTGCCCCCCAGGTGTGGGGGGGGCACACACATGGACACCCCCCCCCCCCCCAGGTAAAGCTGGACCCATGGGGCTGTGTCTGTATATTTGGGGTAATGGAAATCAAAGCAGAGCCTGGGCCCTGCCCTGTGCTGGGAAGGGGGGGGGTCCGGGGGGGTCACCCCCATGCAGGGCCCATGGGGGGGGCAGGCATTAAAAACACTGTTCATTTATTCCAGTTTAAGGCAACTCAATACAGACACAAACACGGGGGGGGGACACAGAGAAGGGAACCCCCCCCGGTGTAAGGGGATGGCTATGGGGCTAGGGGGGGGCTATGGGGCTGGGGGGGTGCCTATGGGGCTGGGGGGCTCTATGGGGCTGGGGGTGTCTATGGGGTTGGGGGGGTGTCTATGGAGGTGGGGGGGTGTATATGGGGTTTGGGGGTGTCTATGGGGCTGGGGGGGGTCTATGGGGCTGGGGGTGTCTATGGGGTTGGGGGGGTGTCTATGGGGCTGGGGGTGTCTATGGGGTTGGGGGGGTGTCTATGGAGGTGGGGGGGTGTATATGGGGTTTGGGGGTGTCCATGGAGGTGGGGGGGTGTATATGGGGTTTGGGGGTGTCCATGGAGGTGGGGGGGGTGTATATGGGGTTTGGGGATGTCTATTGGGCTGGGGGGGGTCTATGGGGCTGGGTGTGTCTATGGGGTTGGGGGGGTGCCTATGGGGCTGGGGGGCTCTATGGGGCTGGGGGGGGTGTCTATGGGGTTTGGGGGTGTACATGGAGGTGGGGGGGTGTATATGGGGTTTGGGGGTGTCTATTGGGCTGGGGGGGGTCTATGGGGCTGGGTGTGTCTATGGGGTTGGGGGGGTGTCTATGGGGCTGGGGCGGGTCTATGGGGCTTGGGGTGCCTATGGAGCTGGGGGGGGTATCTATGGGGTTTGGGGGTGTCCATAGGGCTAGGGGGGCTCTATGGGGCTGGGAGGTGTATATGGGGTTTGGGGGTGTCTATGGGGCTGGGGATTGTCCATGGGTCTACCGGTTGTCTATGGGGTTTGGGGTGTCCATGGGGCTGGGGGTGTCTATGGGGGTGTCTATGGGGCTGGGTGATTGTATATGGGGTTTGGGGGTGTCCATGGGGCTGTGGGTGTCTATGGGGCTGGGGAGCTGTCCATGGGGCTGGGGGGTGGCGCCATCTATCACCCCTGGGATGTCACCAGAGGGGACCCCACACTTGGGGGTCCCAATTTCTGTTCTCTATGGGGGGGGGAGTGGGGAAGCTGAGGACCCCTTCCCCTTTATTTGGGGGGGGGGCAGGATACCCCCATAGCACTGGGCCAGCGTGGGGGTGGTTGATGGGGATGGGGGGGGGGGGGGGGGGGTATCCATGGGAATAGAGGGAAAGGGGCCGGGAATGGGGGGGTCACTGCGGGGGGGGCGCGGGCCCAGGGCTGATCCCTTTGGCCTTCATGTAGGAGAGGAGCTGGGGGGGACCTCGGCCAGCACCGCCCGCGCCAGGCGAGCCATGGAGCGAACAGCGCCCCCCCCCGCCGCCACGTGGTCCCGGAACGGCACAAACTGGGGGGGGGAAAGGGGAGAGAAACCCACAGTGACCCCATTGAGTGCCCCCCCCCATTGAGTGACCCCCATTGAGTGCCCCCCCCATTGAGTGACCCCCGTTGAGTGACCCCATTGAGTGACCCCGTTGAGTGACCCCCCCATTGAGTGCTCCCCGTTGAGTGCTCCCCGTTGAGTGCCCCCCCCATTGAGTGACCCCCATTGAGTGCTCCCCGTTGAGTGACCCCCGTTGAGTGACCCCATTGAGTGCCCCCCCATTGAGTGACCCCATTGAGTGACCCCCATTGAGTGCTCCCCATTGAGTGACCCCCCCATTGAGTGACCCCATTGAGTGACCCCCATTGAGTGACCCCATTGAGTGACCCCATTGAGTGACCCCATTGAATGCTCCCCGTTGAGTGACCCCCATTGAGTGCCCCCCCATTGAGTGACCCCCATTGAGTGACCCCCCCATTGAGTGACCCCCCCATTGAGTGACCCCATTGAGTGACCCCCATTGAGTGCTCCCCATTGAGTGACCCCCCCATTGAGTGACCCCATTGAGTGACCCCCATTGAGTGACCCCATTGAGTGACCCCATTGAGTGACCCCATTGAATGCTCCCCGTTGAGTGACCCCCATTGAGTGCCCCCCCATTGAGTGACCCCCATTGAGTGACCCCCCCATTGAGTGACCCCCCCATTGAGTGACCCCCATTGAGTGACCCCCATTGAGTGACCCCCATTGAGTGACCCCATTGAGTGACCCCCCCATTGAGTGCCCCCCCATTGAGTGACCCCCATTGAGTGACCCCCCCATTGAGTGCCCCCCCATTGAGTGACCCCCATTGAGTGACCCCCCCATTGAGTGACCCCCCCATTGAGTGACCCCCATTGAGTGACCCCCATTGAGTGACCCCCCCATTGAGTGACCCCCCCATTGAGTGACCCCCATTGAGTGACCCCCATTGAGTGACCCCATTGAGTGCTCCCCGTTGAGTGACCCCCGTTGAGTGACCCCCATTGAGTGCCCCCCCCATTGAGTGACCCCATTGAGTGACCCCCCCATTGAGTGACCCCCGTTGAGTGCTCCCCATTGAGTGCCCCCCCCATTGAGTGACCCCATTGAGTGCTCCCCATTGAGTGCCCCCATTGAGTGACCCCCGTTGAGTGCCCCCCCCATTGAGTGACCCCCCCATTGAGTGACCCCCATTGAGTGCTCCCCATTGAGTGCCCCCCCATTGAGTGCTCCCTATTGAGTGACCCCCATTGAGTGTCCCCCATTGAGTGCCTCCCATTGAGTACCCCCGTTGAGTGACCCCCATTGAGTGCTCCCCATTGAGTGACCCCCATTGAGTGCCCCCCATTGAGTGCTCCCATTGAGTGTCCCCCATTGAGTGCCTCCCATTGAGTACCCCCGTTGAGTGACCCCCGTTGAGTGACCCCCATTGAGTGCTCCCCATTGAGTGCCCTCCCATTGAGTGCCCAGCCAGGGACTGCCCCCCCCATTGAGTGCCCCCCATTGAGTGCCCTCCAGGGAGTGCTCCCCATTGAGTGCCCCCCCAGTGCGTGCCCCCCACGTCTCAATGCACCCCCATTAAGTGCTCCCCTCCATAACCCAGTGTGCCCCATGTCCCATTATATCCTGGAATTCCACTGCCCCCCATGTCCCATTCCCCCCCCAAGCCCCACTGCCCCCTCACGCCCTGTCCCTCCCATCACCCCGGTATCAATGGGGCTGATGTGGGGCGGGGGGGGCGGTACCTGCACGATGTCCCTCTCAGCCACCCTCCCGCGGGAGGACACGCGGATGTCGTCCCCGTCCAGCTCCACCATGGCTGCAATGGGGGGGGTGGTGTCACCCTAGGTGGGACCCCATTAACCCCCCCCATAACCACACATGGGCTGTGTTGCCCCCCCCCCCCCCAAACTCACCATCGAACTCGGCCTGGCCGACCCCCACGATGATGATGGACATGGGGAGCGCGGCAGCCTGGGGGGGACCCACACTGAGCTCAGGACTCAACACCCCCCCCCCCCCCCCCCCCCAGCACCCATGGGGTGTGAGACACCCACACTCCCCCCCCCCCCCCATTGGAGAGCAGCATCGGCTTCATCACCCGGGGGGGGGAAGGTGGGGATGGGAGCCCCACGGCTTGGCAATGGTGGGATTCCTGTGCCTGGGATCATGATGGGCATCCCAGGACCATGATGGGCATCCCGGAACCATGATGGGCATCCCAGGACCATGATGGGCATCCCGGGACCATGATGGGCATCCCAGAACCATGATGGATATCCCAGGACCATGATGGGCATCCCGGAACCATGATGAGCATCCTGGGATAATGATGGGCATCCCGGAACCATGATGGGCATCCTGGGATCATGATGGGCATCCCGGGACCATGATGGGCATCCCAGGACCATGATGGGCATCCCGGAACCATGATGAGCATCCTGGGATAATGATGGGCATCCCAGAACCATGATGGGGATCTGGGGACCATGATGGGCATCCCGGGACCATGATGGGCATCCCGGGATCATGATGAGCATCCCAGGACCATGACGGGCACCCTGGGATCATGACGGGCACCCCACTCTTCAGCCACAACGGGTATTCCATGCCCTGGCCCATGATGGACATCCCAGGACCACCCCAATCCTGGGTGTCCTTCCCTCGGGATCTCAATGGGCATCCTGCAGCCAGGACCATGATGAACACCCAACGCCTTGGCCACGATGCGCATCCCTTGGGACCATCATTGCCCGGTCCACCCCGGCACCCCTGGGTGCTGCCCCCCCCCCGCCTTGGGGGCACCCCGAGCCCCTCACGTTGACGATGGCCTCCTTGGTCTGCGCCATGTCCGAGATGACGCCGTCGGTGATGATGAGGAGCACGAAGTACTGGGAGCCATCGAGCACCGCGGCCGCCGCGCTGGGAGCGAGCGGTCAGGGGCCAGGGAGGGACCCGGGGTGGGCACAGCACCCGGACCCCATATCCTGTACCCACATCCCACACCCCGTATCCTGTATCCCCTATCCATATACCATAGCCCACACCCCATACCCTATATCCTGTACCCACACCCCATAGCCCACATGCCACACCCCATATCCTGTATCCCCTATCCATATACCATAGCCCACACCCCATACCCCATACCCCATATCCTGTACCCACACCCCATAGCCCACATCCCACACCCCGTATCCTGTATCCCCTATCCATATACCATAACCCACATCCCATATCCCATTCCCCATATCCCATACCCCACACTGCATATCCTAGATTCAATACCCCCTACCCAGTACCCCATATCCCAAACCCCATACCCCATATCCCATACCCATGCCCCATATCCCATACCCCAGATCCCATATCCCAAACCCCATACACCATATCCCATATCCCACACCCCATACCCCATATCCCCTATCCTATATCCCATACCCCATATCCCATACCCCACACCCCATACCCCATATGCCATACCCAATATCCTGTATCCTATATCACATACCCCATATCCCGTATCCTGTATCCTATATCCCACACCATATATACTATATCCCATATCCTATATCCCACACCCCACATCCCATACCCAACACCCCACACCCCATATCCCATACCCCATACCCCACAGCCCATATCCCACACCCCATATCCCATACCCCATACCCCACACCCCACACCCCATACACCATACCCCACACCCCACACCCCATATCCCATACCCCATACCCCATACCCTATATCCCATATCCCCATATCCCATACCCCCCACCCCACACCCCCCCCACCCCCTCACCCCATACCGCGCCACGTGGTTGACGACGGGCGCGAAGTTGGTGGGCCCGTAGAGCTGGACGCGGCGCAGGCTGCGGTGATAGGCTTCCAGCACGCCCTCGATGCCGCTGCACGCCGGGTTCTCCGCATCCCCGTTCTGCAGCGCACGGATACACCCCCCCCACACACACACACACACCCCACCGGTGACGTCACCGCCTCCCGGCCCCATCCCGCCTCCCCATGGGAGCCCCTCACCAATGGGAACTCGTGGGACACGCGCCCATCCGGAGGGATCTTGGCCCCGAAGCCCAGCGCCGGGAACATCTTGTCGCTGTCGTAGTCCTGGATGATCTCCCCCACGGCCTTGAGGGCCATGGTGTAGGCGTTGAGCTGGTAGGGGCTCAGGTAGTGCAGGGACGTGGGTTGGGATGGGTTCCCTGTGTGGGGTTCGGGGCTCACATGGGCCCTGACACCCCATTAACACCCCACCGCCACTGCCACCATTGCGGCCTCCCACCCCTCACCGTTGGAGGCGGTGAAGTCGATGGCAACGGTGAAGTTGAGCTGGGTCCTGGTGAGGGCAATGGCACCACTGGGGGCTCCGTGTGTCCTTGGGGTGAGTTCTGCCCCCCTCCACCCCCTGGCACACAGGGGAGGGATGGGGACCCCCCCCCCACCCCGGTCCATGGGGTGTGGATGGGGCCGGGTCATCAGCCCCCCAACCCCGGCTCACCCGCCCCTGATGTAGTCCAAGAAGCTGGGGTCAGACTCCACCGAGA